GAGGTATCAGCTCTCTGCAGCTCCCTTTGCCTCACCTCTCTGGCACTGCTCAGGGTTGTTATTCCTAACCAGTGAGCCCTGTGCTTGTCTTCTGCTTCTTCTGAAGCAAGGAAAACCTGTAGCCCAGCACAGCCCCTTTACATAGCACCAGATCTCCTCCTCTGACACTTCTGTGATCTGATGTTCTGTTCCAAACAAAACCTGCTTTGGAAAATTTCATACATGGGATACACTGGAAGAAATTACAGTCTGCAGAAATCCAAGGGTTTCAAAGCTTTAAAAAAATCTTAAATCTTACATGTACAATTTCAATTGTATTAATAATCATTCAGACTTTCATCTCATTGAGAAGCATTTTTGTGCTTCCCGGTGCTGTTATTGGATCCTTTTGTCCTTTAATGATATACACTATTTTACATTAGTAAACTTCCAAACAACACCTAATATAGATGTGTAGGCATGTGTGTTCACCCTTTGAAAATTCTTATTATTTTGCATAATATTAATGCACCAGGCCCACACTCCCTTTTTCTCTGCAGAGAGTGGAATGCCTGTTCTCATAACAAAAAGCCTTCTGAGTATTTCCTGTGTTAGCCTGGCCACGTTAGCTCATACAGACCATTGACTGCAATCCTCTGATGAGCAATCTCGAGTGTGAGTATGTATACAAAGGCAGATGGCACCAAATATTTTTGCAGTTTAACTCCAACATGCAAACTCTCACTATCGTGGGCTGAGGTGTGGGCCTCTACTTTGTCATCCTTGCAGGTGAGACACGAACAGAAATTTTAGTGAGGCTTAGCAGGAAGGATGAATACTCGTGACTAACACTTGCCATTCACCATGCTATAAGTGTCTGATATCTCACTTTTTGTCTTTGTATCCCACCTTGTTGAACCAAACCATTCACTAGCACTTGGGTCCATGTTTAAGATTTTGGCAGTCCTTTTTTTTTTCTCTGTGATGACAAAACCAGCTCACTGTCCTGTTTCACAGTAGTGCAGTTCAAAGAGGCATGATGATAGACTGAGAAGAGTGCAGATTCCTCCTCTGACCCCATTGCTGAATTGTTGTGTAGTGCTCCCATCAGCTGTACTGTGGGTGCTGGGAAAAGCACGTCACAATGTGTGTAAGGCACATGGGGAATGTGCACTGCAGAAAAGTCTGACTCCCTTTTATTGAACTGTGGGATGTTTGTAAGTGTGGGCAGTGCAGGAAAGCTGAGTCAGCAAGATCTGGAGTTGCAGCATTATTGGGGACAGAGTAACTTCATTTGGAGTTGTGGGTGTTTAATAACCTTGAAAATAGAACTGCATGAAATGCTATTTAAGGTGTGAGGCATTTATGTCTGCTGAAGGAAAACCTGATACACTTTGTATCTAGAGATGAGGAGGATAAATTGCCTTCTGTTTTTTCTTTGAAAGTCTGTTTTTCATCAGTGTGTCAAAATGCTCACTCTGGCACAAATGAGCAGAATCAGTTTGCCTGTAAGAGGGATGTTAGGGTGTTTAGGTGATATTGAGGATATAATACTGCAGATCACTGGGTGTTAAGAGTGGTTAGATACTGAATCAAGTAATTGAAGCCTAAGGAGAGGCTCACATTCCACTTCTATTTTGGTTTGTTTCAAAATCTCCCCAACAAAGGATTGCAGTTGCTAATGGGACATAACCTGAGATGTAATTTAATTATTTTTAACAGTGGACATACAGTTGTTGTAGTCACTCTCATCTTTAGTGACAAGACAAGTATCAATCATGGACGTTCATATTGGCTGTACTAGCTTAAGCTGAGTCTCCATTTTCTTCTTCTTATGCAGTTTGCTTTAAAGAATAGGTGGAACACTACATGTATAGGAGTGTCTTGCATCCCCTGTATAACCCCCTGGCCTGTACTTTGGTTAGGGTAATGTAAATCCTGTTTCTAGCCATCTGGGACTCTCCAGAGTGCAAAAACATGATGGGATTTTGTATGCTTCAGCCTAAACTACTCAAGGTAAGACCTTGTTGTGACAGGTGTTATCAGGATGGTAACAGATATCCATTGGCAAGACCTGGACAACCAGCAGTGCCATGGGGCACTGGGCCAGCACATTGTGGTGAAGGCTGACTGTGCTAAGGATAAAACTGTGTAATTAACTGGAAGTATGTGTTGGGCTTCTTGATGCACTGCAGTTTGCTTTCAGACATTTTCCTGAAGCACAGAACACTTGTTTAGGCCATTGTTAATGGTCATCAACCACTTCTTAATGTGGATAAACCAGTAGTGACAACTAGTCATAGCCAGAAGAGTGACCAGTTATCAGGTACTGCCAGATTTTGGTGGCCAGTCCCTGGAAACTCTCATGTTTATTTCCATGTCTTTTTATGTTTCAATTTTTTTTTTTTTTGCAGAGAGAAAGTATCCATAATCGAATAAATGAGCCATGAGCAACCTCAATTCTTGCCCTTTGGCAGGAAGGCTATGAACTAGAATTTGAACAGTTTGATCAAATGCTTTGTTTTCCTCTCTTCACTCAGTCAGGAGCTTTTGTAACTTGTGTGTAGGAGCCCTCAGGCTGGGACAGCTATGGGCCTGACTGGCTGAGAAGCATTTGTTGAGGATATTTAGGGGGGAGACAAATGACAGGAGAAAGGACTCAGGTTTTATGTATATCTTTAGCTTTAGAGGTGCAGAGTGAAACCAGGTGTGATTTCTGACTCAATGGGAGAAACACAGTGCACAGGAAACCATCTGAAGTGAGGCCTCTGTCTCCCTTGGGTGGGGCAGGCTGTTCCCATCTCACTGTAATGCACTGTACTGCCTCTGCTTAGTCCCAAGCTTACAGCACTATGCTGGGCCATATGAACACTCCTGTGTTCTTCACTGTCCATCTCTAAGTTTTGCACTGTCCTTGGATCAGAATGGTTCCCGTGACTTTCTTAACTTGCATTTCTTCAGTGGGGCTCTAGAGGACAGCTGTGGTTGCTGCTCGGGACAGAGGCCCCATTGGTCTCAAGGCTTGAATACCATTTACCAGCGTTATGCTCTCTAAGTCACGGTATTCAGCTTTACCCATCACTACTTCTCAGTAAACGATATGAAAAAGAGTGCACAAACCTAAGCAGAGGCATGTTTGGATTTGTGGCTGTCCAACAGAATGAAGAAACAGATCTGCTGCTTTCTATTCCCACATTGGAAAGTTTTTAATAAGAGGAAGTCAAAAATCAATCTGCAAATGGACTAAGAGCCAAAGTCTGAGATGAGTTCCTGATGTATGTTTCCTTTAAGCCAAAGGGACACAGTCCCTAACCAAATATCTTTAGCTGTTATTTATTAGATTATTACAGTCTTTTTATGTAAGCCATGATGTGTTTCAGTAGGCAGACATGGAGAACACTCCTGAAACCATGAACTTTAGAAAATGCACATCTCAAATTAATTTTACTGTATGTCCCATCATTCTTCTGCTACTGGAAGCAGCAAACAATCATTCCATCTCTCGTGCCCTGTATCCCTGGTCCAATAAGGCTGTCTCTGTTCTCACCAGCCACCTCTTCTGAGCCAAGACTCTCCTTCATTTCCTCCCAACTGCGTTCAAGCTTCTCCCTGTATTTGATCATCTCTGTGGCCCTTTTCTAGTTTATCCTCTCTGAGATGGAATGACCCAAACTATGCACCCTGTTCACTAAGTCTGAATAAATGGTTTTCTAATGGTGTGACTATGTGTCCTGTTTTGTTACCTACTCATTTTGTAGTGTTTTTTAGCATTCTGCTGGGATTTGTCTTTGTGACCCCGCTGACAATGGAGCTGGTGATTGCAAGACCTACCCAGGCCTCTTTCCTGAGAAAGAGATAATTGCACATTCAAAGCCTGTCACTGTAGATACATACTTAAAGGTAATTTTGTGCCCAGACACATTATTTTGCACTTATCAGAGCAAACATTTTGTCATCTGCTCACTTTATATTATGTGTACCTAAGATGTAAGTCTTAGCTGTCAGCATTAGATGTCATTTTCTGCATAATTTTGTCATGGCATTATTCAGTGCTCTGTCAGGTAGTTTGTGACCAGACTGAACCTCATAAAGTCCCAAAGCACATCTCTGAATGGGATCCTGCTGGTTAACTGCTGACAAAATGACATTTATTTCCTATCTCTATGAGAGGAATATCCCTTCTACTCATTGATTGTTTAGCTTGCAAGATTGTGCCATCTACCCTTTTGTATCTCCTAAACAACTGGTTTCCCTTTTAATGTGTTGGAAGGCATCAAAAGGACGGATCAGCTTTTTCTTTGGTTAGTTTCAAAAACCCTTTCAGTGTCAGTGCTTGGAAATGAACCATATGATCCCTGTAAGTATCAATTAGGTTTGCTTTTCTTGTCCACACAATCTCTCCTAATCTGTGTCATGCACATATTTTTCTACAAATGGGCAATTCTGAGACACATCTTGTAATAAGAGGCAATATTATCTGACAGTTTTTCATGCCATAGGCAATATGAGCAACACGAGCAAAAACAAGTGTTTAAAATGGACATTTCTGAGAGTTTAAAATACATATGAATTCTGATAATTATGAAAGTGACTTTTTAATTGCTCAGACTCTAATCACCATTGATTCAGAGATTGCTCTCTTATGTAGAACATAGTGGAACTTAATGGAAGATGTGAAGTTAATTTTTATTCTTATGACATTTTTGAACAGAATATGACTCATACCTCCCTTTAGTTTTTGCTCAATGCTCAACAAAAAGATGAATGTTTTTTATGATGGACTATAAGCTTTTGATTGTCTTGCTAAGCGGCAGCTGCAAAATCTGATGCAGTTTAGTGTGTGACAAAGCTGAATGCCACGCAATAACTCATTTGAATAAGAGCCAAGCTGATATTCCTTACTGGGGAAACATGCTCCCTAAAATGTTTTTATGGGACTAGGATGTCAGATTCATGATGGAAATTTGGAAACTCCTGTTTTGGGTGCACTGAAAATGAATTGCTCAGATGAACAAGCTATTTATACAGACATGTGGTCAATACTGGATACTGGTTTAATCTTCTAGTAATCCAGACATTACCATATGGACAACCTGCACAGATTGATCTGATGAGGCCTCACTGGGTAAATGAAAATCCTGCTTCAGTTAATTTGCTAAGCTTTTATGTTAGCTTTTATCAGGAGAAAAAAAATGCTTTCCAACACATAGTTTATTCACAGTGACATATAAAATGAGACTGATGACAATCGACACAGGTTTAAGGCAGCTTGTTTGACAAGCAGCTCATGATGGTTTGGACAGTTATCTGGAGGGCTTTCTTTCCATACTTCATTGTTTGTAGCCAATGCACAGCCTTTCCAATGTGGAACCACCTTTGCACATACATATCAGAGAATGTACTCAGTTTTCTCTTGAATTTTGCTTTCAGTGATGTACTCACAGTAATTTTGTTTAATGCCATAATGGATTATTTAGTTTTGTTATCAACCTCTGCTTTCTCAATCTTCTGTCCTGTGAGGAACTGCCATATTCCTCCTCTGTAGTTCTCATTTCCCAGGGCATATACAAAGGCATCCACCGTTGGTGCAGTCTTGGCAATAAGGGCAGGAATCTGTCATGAGACACAATATTTATTACTAGGAAAACACATCGAGAAGCCAATGGGCTGATTTCACCCTATGTTTAGTTTCCCTTTACCAAAAAAAGCCTGTCTCCAATGGCATTAGGTTGCTACTCCCAGAAAGGGGAGAAGTAAAAACAATTTGCCTGGTGGGAAGTCCTACTCAGGAAATTAGAGTTTCCAGGAGAAAGAACTTAGGTTTGTGTTGCCTGAAACAGAGATAATTTAGTGGAGAGCGATTACAAACACTTAGAAGGAGTGAAAGGTGTACCATGGATACCTTTGGATGGATAAACAGGCTGATGTTGCTAACACATTTAATGTAGGATACTGAATATGGTAATGCATTTGGTGACCTGAAACTGGGCTGATTTTTGGGCACAGAATGAAAGTTGAAAGGTTTGATGTAATATTATTGAGTCCCAGCAGTAGCTTTAGAGCCAAGACTTATAGAAGAAAGGGGAAAAAGGAGGCAGCAGAACCTTAGGAGTGATCAGTTACAGCTTCCTTGAGGAGAGAGAAGTATTAGAAATATGAATGAGACAAACAGTCTCTTTAAAACTGAAAATTCTGAGCTAGTACCTCAATTTAGGAAGGACACAAAAAGCTCCTAGATGGCACAGAACAGTACAGGTCACACACCCCTAACTAAGTGCTGAAGAAAAATACCCCTGGCCTCTTAAATTTTTTCTTGATCAAAGCAGTAATGCAATGCCTGTTATATCACTGTGCTTACCTGTTTTCACTACAAAAAGGGTAGATGAACAGAATTCTTTGAGGAAAAGGACTACTTCTTATAGACATTTTTACAAGTAAACCCAGCAGTGAGTAAATTGGCATTGTTCCATAGAGACAGAGAGAGGAGAGTGAGGAGAATGTCATTGCTTGGGTTCTGAGGAGGCACTGACGTACCATGCGGTATTTTGGGGGAATGAACATCACATTTTCCACTGCTGCATAGGAGCACAGGAGGCAATAGGGACCCCAGCAAATGACCAGTATCTTCAGTGGTAAACCAGTGTTAAACTGAAAAACAAGAGCAAGAGGTTTCTTTGTGTTTCACAATCACACACTGCGCCAAATGATGGGAGAGGTCCTGTGGGACCGTGGTTTGTGCTCAGTAGCAGGAGAGGATCAGGCAACAGGACACGGGACAGAACAGAGCAGCAGCACCAAAGCCCTGATCCTGGGCCTGGGTGGGCAGTGGCAGAGGTGGCAAAACACCCTGTGGTAGATCAGATAAATCAGGGTGTGCTAGATAGAGAAGCCACGGCCAGTAACTGCTGCTGAAGGGAGAGAGCAATGTGAAAATTTAAGAGCAGATTAAAAGGAATGATATTTTGCTGACTTCCTAGACAGTGTTGCAGACAAACTGTGTGAAGCCACTGCTATGCCGGTGCAACAAATGGATGCAGTAGCTATGTTGTGGTAGGAGGATTTCCCTGTCCTTTTTGCTAGGGCCCTGCCCATGGTGTTCATGGCCAGCTGTTCTCAAGCATCTTATAAATATTAATGACTATGGAAGTGATAATTTCATCCTTAAATTTTCTGCATTGTAACTTGTCTGCACAGCTACAGAGTATCATGAGAAAGAAATCACATGCTAGTGCTTACAAACTCACTGGAAAAAAGTAATAGACTAATGAACACTGAGATGTGTTCAAGAAATATATAGAGGGTCCATGTATTTATTCCAGTCAGCTACAAACAAGTCTGCCTGTCTCTGTCAAGAAAACATTTCTCTTGAGATCTGACTATCTTTACTGAGTGCAGGGGTTGGGCTGTGCCCACCAGCCATGCATAGTGCCCCAGAATGTACAGCCTGCACCTCAGCAAACAACTCATATAATCACCACATTATATTCCCATAAACCTGCCACACCAGAACAATTCCTTTGTTTCCAGCTCATAAAGATTTCTGAATTTCCTCAGCCAAGTGCTAACACAGTGTGTATGGGAAGGCCCTTCTCCCCCCATGGGGTGCCTGCATCTTTCCTTGCAGAGCTGTAGCTCTCTCTGACTTCCTCAGCCAGAAGCCAAAGGCCTGTAGCACGGCAGGAAATAACAATCCTTCCTGAGAGAAATTTATCTGGATAAACACTGATATGCTATTGGCAAATGTTCTGTATACTCTGTGTTTGTTTTTTGAGGAGAGTTGGGCCAGTGTTAATGGAGGGAAATCTTCAGCATCACTGCTCCAACTCCCTCTTTGATGGGGAACTGTTTACAGCACTAGGCTGGGGCAAATGTTGCTGTCTGGTAAAATGCTGACATTTCCACGGATGCTATTTCCATGAACTTTCTGAAAGGCCCCATCCTGTGTTGCACTACCCTCCTACTCAAGTAGGAGTGGGGAGTTGGGACAGAAAGAGCTGAGTCAAAGTCTTTGTGAAAGAAAGAAATCAGGTTTTTTTCGAGGACTTCATCTCTACTGAATGCAGCCCTATTTTGTCAATGTGATTGCAGGGGGTCAGGGAGCTTTCTTACCTTAAAGTGCCCAGTTTTCCTGAACTTTTGGTGTATGGACTGATAAGCTGTCAGCATGATGAAGCCTGGGATCATGAAATTGAAAGTGGACAGAGCAAAAAGGAATGTAACATAGTTTCTGAGAAAGGTGAGGAGGGAAGAAAAAAAGAGGCTGTTAATTCAACTCCAGTGCATCTCTGTAAACTTGCTGTAAGTATTTACCAAGTTGTAATTTTAAAATTGCTAAAACAATTTTTGTCAGTGCACTTCAGGTGCAGCGTCTGTGGAAGGCCAGTTAAGCTGTGCCAGGCTATTGTGTGTGGGATGGACAGTATTGTAGAAAATCACAACAGGTGTTTGTATTCTAAACCCCAACATCACTGCTCAGACATCTGTGCTGGCCTGCACAGAGCCAAAAGCATTCTGACAGAGTTTCAAGCCCTAACCCAGAAAAGATGCAGTGTGCAGATGGGTGAGGGAGTGGCAGGAAGCTGAGCACCAGCCTCTCCCATGAGGAAGGTGACCTGAGCTGCTCCTTGTGCCACCATGCGAGCCCAGGCAGCCCCGGGTGACCCTGCCTTGTCCCAGCTGCTGGGGAGGGACATCTGCCCCAGGAACAGCGGTGGGCACAGCTGGGGGGTTTGTGTGCCCCCAGGGCCACCCTGGGTTTTGGCAGTTCCGCTCTGCTCCTGTGGGAGCTGGCCCTGGCCTCACCTGTCCCCTTTGCTGTAGTCCAGGGTGCAGCAGGTTCGGAGGGGCTCGTAGTCGTATTCTCCCCAGCCCAGTAAGGGCATCACGGCCCAGAAGGCAGCAAAGAGCCATGCAAACACCATCATGGAGGCAGCTGTGCTCCACTGCAGCCTGCTCCCTGTGGGAAGAGGAAAGGGGGTGAACAAAACCACTGGAAACAGCTGGCAGGCCCTTGGGCCTCAGGCAGAAACAAGCAGTTGTTCATGTTTTGTGTCCTGAAGCTGACCCGAGCCTGGAGGAATCAGTCTTCCATAAAATACGAAGGAAGCTTTTAGGAAACAGCAAACTGTACTTGACTTTTGCGTATTTTACTTAGACAAATGCTATGTTGCTGCTCAGCTTTGTACCACACTGGAGATACAGCTGTTGTTGCAAACATAATATTCTTGTGTTTTGGGAATGTGTTTAAAGACACAGTTGAGGCAGAGTGTAGAGTGAACAGGGTGATGCAATAAACAGTGTTTGAAGAAATAGAGTCCCATTGCAGAGTGTGGGTCAGATCAGATATGTGACTGCACACACTCCCCAGCCCCTGCCTTCTTCCTTCCTGCCTGGCCAGGAGTGCATGGCATGTGTGGATATCTAAGATACACTGTTCTAAAATTACTGCTCATCAATATATATGTGAATATATATACACAATCCGAGAACAGAGCTTGTTCTAAAAATACTACTGGACAAGTAATTTTGCCCTTAGGATCATCACTTAGCCTTTAACAGGAAATGTGAAGCTCAGCATTAGAAATTTTTTTCTAATTTTATAATAAAGTGTTCCCTTGTGCCTATCTCATCCCGTTCCATCAAATACCACAGGAATGTAATGAAAGATTGGAAACCTGAGAAGACACAGGAAGTATTTCTTCATGGAGAAGGCAAGCAGGCTTCCTTGCTGCTGCAGGATGTGCTAGCCCTGCTGCTTGCATGTAGAAAGGTCTGGATAATTTTGTTATTGAGGCCAGTGTCTGTCATCATGCCCACGCTGGGCAACCCATGATGCCAGCAGCACCACAAGGAGAACAGTGACTTTCCCCAGCACTCCCTTCTAATCCAATCTCCCATTAGGGACAAGTAATGATGTAATTTTCACTGAGGTTGGGAAGCAATCTTTCTGTCTGCCCTTAGACAGCAGCATGATGACAGCAGGCAGGAAGATTCAGGTCAATTCTGATCTTTCCCTGAGAGGTGAAGGACTGGGGATGAGGTGCACAAGGAGAGGCCACAGAGGCTGGAGATCCCCATGAGGCAGCAGCTCCAGGAAGAACCACAAACTCTACAGTAGCTATTTTGTGTTGTACTGTTCTTGGATATTTTAAAAAAGAAAAATAAAGGGCGTTGGTGAAACCGCCCTTTTACAGGAGATCTGGTTCCATTCCTCTCTTATCTTCCAGATGTTCTTCAGGGAAAAAAAATAAAGTTTGAATTGCAGTAAAAATCAACTTGGAATATTCATTTGGTGCAGGTGTTCAAAAATTAATCATGGGAAAAGACAGTTCTACACATTGCAATTTAAATACCGAGGAGAATTAAAGAAAATACTCTCTATGAAATATTTTAGGCTTTATATTTGGTACTTGTAAAAATTGTTTTGATTTTTTAGTAATTTAAAACATAATTTTGTAATGATTACTAATGAAGAATTGTTAATAATGACTAATATCTGTCTTTCATATGATTACTACATAGAAGACATATTTTGGCTGCAAAGGCTTAAATACTGCTTTGTAGTACTCACATAATATGACTCTAGAATTACATAGATGAAAAGAATACTTTTTGATTTAGGGAACTAGAAATAGAAGTACAACTTTTCAGTAATTTGTAATTATTCTTAAACTCCCAATCCAAAGCAGCAATCTAGCCTAAGCATCTTATTACTTTAGTGTTTGTGCCTTTTCTATGAAAAACTGTAGGGAAAAGTTTATTTTAGTTACTTTTCCATGGGAGTTAGGGATCGCCATTTTCTTATTAGATGTAGAACACAAGGACTGTGCAATAATGGAGCCTGGCACCAGGCATGTCTCAACAGCCTGCCTTTGGAAAGCTCATTTCTGGGGCTGAGCTCATCTTTTCTCTGCTCTCACACTTAAGGGGCCCCACCTTGGATGCTTGAAGAGGAGAGAATTAGAGCTAACAAAATTAAATTTGTTCCTTTTGGCTTTGACCTTTTGCAAAATGAGATTAATGGTGAAGTAGACCTGGTGAAATCAGCTGCTGGTTGACCCTTCAGAAGATATTTACACACACATCAGAAATAGCTAAAAATGTATGAATATACAATTAAACAAGCTTGAGATTATTTTAGTTTTACTCAGAAAAAACACTTCAAGAACAAGAACAGTGAAAGAGTTGTGTTTTGTTCACGTGGCAAAAATGTCCTCCTCTGAGAAGTCTGAGAGCAAGAGCACAAGTTGAGAGCAGTTCAGTTGTTTTTGTGCACAGCAGGTCATTACCTTAAATTCCTTTTCTTGGCCTGATAAAATTTAATTTAATAGCCGTGTAGGTCCTAATTCAATTAAATGCATATGTATGGGGTTCATCATATGTCTACAGATATAATTCCTAATTAGGGCCCAGGGCTGGCAGTTTGGTCCTATTAAGTCTAATCACTCTTATACTCTGGTCTTCTCTCTTTGAAAAGCAAAAAGGAAGCCTCTCTTTTCCACCCAGGGAAATATTAATATTAAACGATTTCTCTAATTGTTTTGGAACAGAAAGACTGCACCCCCATCATTCAAAGATTACTAAAATTGTGATGCCAAAAGATGAACTTTTAGCAAGTGCTAGATGGAGCATGGAACCTTAATCCTTTTGATCATGAAGGCCAGTTTTTAGTGATATAATCACAAACTATATCTTGGGGCTTAGTTTGTGGAAACATTTATGAATGTATTTTTTTTAAAGATTTATGATTTATTCAAACATTTAGCTTATTTTCAAAACTGAAAAATATATCTCTGGCACTGACACTCTGACACTTTCAGCTAGATTTCAGTCTGCTATTCAAAAGGAGTGTCTCAAATAAAAGGTCAACAGGATTTTCTAGGATGGAGGGGAAAAATAGTCCCATTTTCTCATTCTTGCAAATGGTTGTTATAATAGCTGCATAATATTAAGTTATAATATAGTCCAGGACACTATATGGCTTGTACCAAACTTCATGGCATGCATAATTTAAAATTAGCCAAGTTTGTCAAAGACAGAAATATCTAAAAATCTGATAAGGAAAAATATGTATCAGTCATAAATAAAATAGGGGTTAGCACCTACTTCATCTGCAGTGCAAAAATCACCAGTCACTGGTGCTCACAAGGATTCTTTTTTTGTAGGAATCAGAAAGCTGTAATGTGTAATACCTTCTTCTGAGCATATCATTATAACAATTAAGGGATTTTTTTACTCCAATATTTTTTTTTAATTTTGCTGTTGTTCACCGTTATTTTAGACTGTCTTGGTGATTACCTCCTGCTTCAGTGAAAAATGCAAGATCTGTATAAACATCGACATTTAGTCAGGGAAAACTGATACAGGTGCAAAAACAGATGAAGGGAATATGGCAGGGTGGCTGCAGTCAGTGTGACAGAACTTTAGGACTTACTCCTAATTTGACAGAGCTGACAGCTGCAATTTTAGCAAATGGTAGTTTGAATACTGATATAACAACGCAGGTTACCTTGGTTGTTAAGAATTAGATAAAAGTCACTGTAATTCTACTTTCAGAAGTTGAATGCTGCTGTGAAATCCCTGCTGGTTTTGTTTGTCTTCTCTTTTACAATATTGAGAGAAGTACTGATAGAAATAATTTCAGATTTTCTGTTTCCCCCAATTCTTAAATGCAAGTAAAAAAAATCTATATCTTTTTTCTTTCCTTTTAAATGTGTAACTTTATGCTGTGCTTATGAATTGACCAGGATCCTTCGCCTCTTCACAAAATTCTAATGGCAGTGAATGGAGTGGGAATGGCCAGAGAAGAAGTGACAATGTCTGTCTTGGTCTAAACTGTCACCTTCTGTCCTGAATACTTGGCTGCTGAGAGACAGCTTCCTCAGAATCTGCCCTTTTCTTCTTCACTGTCATAACATGTCACTAACATATAACTACTTCTGTTTTCTCCTTTTCCCTCCTAGTGATCACATTTTAAAATCTTTTTTTCCCCATATTCCTAGAGATTGACATTGATACCCTTCAGACTCCCCTGCTATTTCTTCTCTTATTGCACACTTTTAGGTTATTTCTCTAGTTCTCTCCTCTTTGCTGTGAAAGTAGCATCTCATAGACGCCAGAGCCACACTTAGGGGATGAAAAAAGTTTCACAGTGTGGTTGTCTGGAAGTAAAAAAAAAAATAAAATAAAGGGAGAGTAAAATATCCTGACCTTCTCTGCCCTGTGGGGTGATAATACTATTTTCTTCCATATACCAAGCAATATCAATCTGATTTCTGGTGAGCGACTTGTCTAGTTACCAATACACTTTAAAGTTAGTGCTTTGTCACTTAGGGCTGTGCTGACTTCCAAATCTAAAAACCTGGTAAATTTTCTGAACAAATTTGTGATATTAGCATCCAGAATGGTTGTAAAGTCCCAAGTAATCCTATCATCATAGTAATCTCTTACATTCTTATCAGCTCGTTCTTCCCAGAAATATGGATAGTGAATAACAAAGGTTTTCTTGGGAAACTCTAGAACATAAAAAACCTGAGGATGACATAATTGAGTGTGGAAGGTACCAGATCCAGGGGAATGAAGATAGAAGGCTGATAGCCTTGTATTTTAGGTAAAGGTATTTCATACCTTCTGTACAGGCATGCAACTCGAACCAGTGTCAACAGGAGTTTAATGTATGAATTGAGAACAGAATATAGCCTGTGGGCTTGGTGTAGCACATCTATGAAATATGACTTAATCTTCCTTGCAATCAGCATGTGAAGAATTGAACTAGAAGGGGCTGACTTTACTGGAATAACCACAGGGCATGAGCACCTTCTGGGTTTTTGGTTTTGTTTTGTTGTTCAAAATGTTCCCTATAGGAGCCGTGTTTGGCCATCAGTAAGTAACAATTTGAGCAAAGCAAAGAAGCTTGTGCCCTGAGGGTCCTTCTGCCTGTGCTCGTAATGCAGTGTATGTTCTTGACTGGAGGAGTGCACGACACAAAAGCATTAAAGTCAATGTGGCAAAGAGTAAAATGTCTTTCCCAGACATGCTTATTTTCAGGCTCTCTCTCATAAAATACAGATGCTCCTCTTCCAGCTCCAAATGCATTTCAGTGTCCAAGGGGTGTTAGTATGGATTTAGCTCACAGCCTGCATTATTTGGGGCCTTTGTCTAGACATGAAAAAATAAATTTCTTTGCCTGAGCTAATTCCTGCAAATAAATTGCGGAACAAAAAAGCTGGCAGCCTTTCCTCAACAGGATCATCAGACTGACCATATTCCCTGTGTGCATTGGACGTGTTTTGCCATTTGCTACTGGAATCACATGGAGGCTGTGCCTGAAAGGCTCTGTGGGTAAAAACACCCCAAAACTCCTGTGTGTTGCACAAAGGGGCTGCTGAGCTCTGTCTGCCCAATCATGCCCCTGCACGGGGTTTGTTCCAGCCACCCTCTCTGCAGAGGCAGCTCTCTGCTTACACCAAATTTATCTATTATTTGTAAACTCTGCATGGACATGATGATGATCTGTTTGGTGCACAGCAGGGTGTTGGATGAAAGCCCAAGAGAAACATATTTTTCTTCAATATTAGGAATTGGATATTATTTGGGATTTTGTTTTAAAGATTACTTATGGATGAAGAGAAAGCACGGCCAGGGTGTCACAAATCAGATGTGATCTGGACGAGGAAATATCTCCTGAAGGTGGTTGATAATTTCCTCCTATATGGGAAGAGGTCCTTTGGAGAAACTGTTTATATTTGCTCTATTTAATGTGTGAGTAATACAAACTTATATGTGATACACAAATAATAAATATGTGCTTGCTTTGATTCTCAGGAACCTAAGTCAGCTGCCTTTTGCAGGATGTGGGTATGGTGGTGAGGAACACTGTAGCCCTTACTTGTGCAGTAGTGATGGTATCGGTCCCAGGCGACGGCAGCGCTGGAGCTGATGCTGGCCAGGGCTGTCAGGAAGCCATGGAATCCATGGATTTGACAGCCATCAGAGCCATAGGGCCAGTATCTGTCAACAAATGAGGAACATGTAAAAAAAATGATAAAGGTGAAGACGTGTCCGGAAATGGCATTAACAGAGAGGGTAAAACAATAGCCTGTGCTCGTCCTCTCTGTCTGAGAAACACTGAGAAAGAAGTTACTGTGCTTGCTTTTATGCATTTGCCAGCATTTTTATTGCTCTGGTGTCTCTTACAGTACAACAGCTATTTGTACTCTTAATAATGAGAAGAAAATATAACCCTGCATCTGTGTATTGAAAAGTTGGGGTTTTAAAATTTGAAATCTACATTTCATCCAATTATCCAGATCGTCAAGATTTGCCTCCTTTATGAGGAGACAATTTGTCAATGTGTGCAAGTCAGTGAAACTCAACAAACAGAAAAAGACTTGCAGACAAATTTGGGGTCAATCTAGAGGTTTAGTCAAGTGGTATTTTGATATTCAAGTAGCTTGTATAACCACTGGTAAAGCTGTCTGGCTAAATGTCTTCTCTAGTCAGTCTTACAATAGTCAGTCAGTGATTATATGCAGTAAAATCTGCTTTTCTACTTGCCCGGCAGAGCCATGAAGGGTTTTGTTTTGCTGTTTCAGATTGAGGGAACGACAAGGTTGGCTATGACTTATGGTAGAAAGAGAGCCATTTAATTAGTTAGACCTCTTAGAACTTAAGCTGTTAATTTTCATGTGGTTCTTCTGAGCATGCCTTAGGAAAAGCTTTCTGCCAGACCTGAGGAAGCTGGAAAAGGCAGCGACGAAGGCGTTGATGCAAATCCCGCAGTCAGCCAGGGCAATGCTGAGAACCAGCAGATTGCTGGGCGTTCGCAGCTCTTTGATTTTTCGGAAAGAAATAATTGTCAAGCCATTCAGACAGAAACCAAGCAGGGCTGAAAGACAGAATTGCTGGGTGTGATTCAAATGGAAATGGAAAATAGCTACAATGATACTGCTGTTTTCCTTGATGAGAGAACAATAATTACAGTGGAATCTTATGCACAGGGAATATATCTGCAGTGGTCAGTCTGCACACAAGTTACAAAAGCTTTCAGAAGAGAAGTCATAGGTGACAGCTCAAGCCTGTGCTTCAGGCTTCATCAGTCATGTGGAGCAGAAGGGCTTGATCTTATTTGTAATTCTGCCTTTTGTCATAATAAGAGAAACTGGATTGTCAGGCTCCATGCAGGGACACATGGCTCAGGGTTCAGAGCAAGTGAGATGCAGAGGAGGCAGGTTCAGGAGAGCTGGCAGCCAGCACATGCTGCTGGTGTACACATGTCCAGGCCTGACTTTGATAGAGAAATGGTTTGTATTTAATATCCATTATAACACTATTTTTTGTGTAAGCACAGAAATCCCCCAGCCATGTTTCAGTCAGCCTGCCTCCCTTTGGGTTCTGTCTCAGGGTAGCCTACACACTGCTTGAATCACACCAGCTCAATCTTATTACTGCCCCTCGTCAATAGACTATACATGGAAAGGAATAATCTAATTATGAAAAGCAGTCACTGATAGATTTAAAATAAGTTTATGTTGGTCCTCAGAGAGGGATCCAAGCAACCTGAGCTATTCACCCAGCACAGAGCTGTACCACTCTGAAGCCCATCTTTCACTGTTTAAACTCAAGCTTTGTCCTTTAATGCCCTTTTCAAGGCGACCTGAATTATTTTAGCTCTGATGAGGCTCTGACTCAACATCCAGTCTCTAAGTTTCAGTTAGATGAGAGGCACTATGTCTTTGTGTTCTTCTTGGAAAAAGAAATGATGTAGCACAGAAAAAATCCATATCCCCTAATTCTGTAAAGTAGTGCAGTTATTTATGCTTATTGTCTTAATTCTGCAGTTACATAAGATGGATGATTTTTTTCTAGTCAGAAATCCTGCTTCTACCTTAATTGCATTAATGGCTGATGGCATAACCATAGTAACAGCTGATGTGTGTCTATCATTACACAACATATAACAAAATATTTCCAGGAGAAATATTTGGAGCCATTTGAGATCTGCTGTTTTTATTTCCTCCCTGCCAGATTACCTCCCACCCACAGGGTAAAACTGCTGTCAACTCTCTCAAATGCAGAGAAGCCTTTAGGAGAGATGAGTTCTGAGCATATTTAGAGTAGAACTGAAGAATTATTACTATATAATTTTTTTTCTATCTTTTCCTTATTTTTGGAAGCCTCAGGCTTTACCAGATTCTGCTTTCTTGAAGGTCAGCATGAGTGTAGAAATAGAGAACTTACTAAATTAAAAAAAAAGTTTTGAATTTTAATTTTTAGATCAGCAAATGTGTTCATTAATAAAAGGAATGCAACTCTTCACCACAACGTTTTTTTGCAAACTGCACTTAGAAGCTGCCATAAAAAAAGGAGAGGTCTTCATTGCCTTTGTCTCAGATTGTTTCAGGAAGTAAATTAATCCTTGATTTTATAGCTTGCTCTTCTAACCCAGATGACAATAATAAAGTTTTACTGCCAATATACTGGGCACATTCTGCCCAAAACCCTATGGAAAATACTTGTGTTTAGTAAACCATAAATGTATTAGACGACACCTAGTTTTAACTGGAAATTACCACGGGGTTCTTTGCTGGAACTTCCACAGCTGCAGGTCCCCAGCAGGACCCAGCTCTCGGGCTCTGCCAGCCCCCAGCACTGTCCCTGTCCTCCTGCTGCTTCCCACCCATCAGGACTGGAGTGCAGATCCTGCCAGGCTGTGCATGTAGCTCGGGGACTGCTGGCCAGGATTAGTCCTGGACTCTGTTTAGGCAGCAGCCTGCCCCTTCTGTCCCTGGGCAAGAAGCAGGAGTTTTTTCCTCTCTCTTCCAAGGAAGAGTGTCTGACAGCACTTCCAGCTTTCCTTTGCAGCCAGATATGAGCTTGGCTGCAAGGTGAAGGTGAGCACCCACGCTCCATGTTCATGGGCTGAGCTAATGAGCATTTATCCCACTCTGATGGTGCTCACAGCTTCTCCTCCACTGCTCTTGGCCCCACGATTCCCACAACCCCTTCTGAGCAGCACTATGCAGGAATTGGATCCCAGGCCCTGGAACTGACACCAACATAATCCCAGCTATGAGCCTTTGCTGGCTGCCAGGTAGATATAAATTCACAGTTTCGTTGCAGTCTCTCAGTAAGTGGCATATGCCTTAAGAAAAGATCACATTGGCTAAATTAAATTGATACGGTTTGTTACTTTTACCCAGCAGCCATTCATTGCAGTGCTGCCAATGCAGTCTGGATGCATGCTAACAGTCTACAGTTTTTTTTGGAGCTATCATGTTTGATTGTAAGACAGTCATCACAACCCACTAACCAAGCAGTCCAATTTTATTGAGAGATTATCAGTCATTTCAACTTCTTTCCCCAGAGGAAGATAAAATTGCCTTTAAAAAAGTCAAGAGCAAAATACTACATCCCAAATTCCTGAGAAGAGAGATGAGTAGCGAGTACTTCACTGCCACAACTATGCATAGAGTGCAGATATTAATGGCAAAGAGCTTGCAGCTCACCCTGATTTACTCACCAGAAGTACTGGTGATGTAGCCACAGTAACCAGGGTCAGCATACCACAAATGCTGCTGTTCACTTCAATTTTCCTTCCCCTTTCTTACCAGAAATAATAGGAGGAAAATATCTTATTGCTGCTGAGGTCCCACACTGAACTTACCTTCTACCAGCAGGGCAGTGCCAATGGCAAACACTTCTATTTCAGTGAAGCCTTCAGGGAGAGGGTGTGCAGTGACCATTCTTATGGTAAATATTCCAAAAGATTTAACCTCTGCCCTCTGTTATAGCTGTGGGGCTGCCTTTTCTCTGGATCTCTCTACTTCCAGTAGCCCAAGGCTTCTTAAAGGAGCAGTTCACGTGCAAACACATGCTGTTATTATATAAAAGCTTTGGGGTTTTTACTCCCTCCACTACAATCCCTGCAGGAATGTTATTAACGATGGGACTAGCATCAGCCCGCACTCCCCCTTCCCCTGCAAATCGTATTTCAGACACCAGCAAAATTAAAGCATTCATTGCAATTACAACAAGTTCTTTGTGGACACAAGATTAAGAAACCTGTCCAGTTAATTTTGCAACACTGGAAAAGAATTAAATGTTGTGGAACAAAGGAAACATGCAATTGGGGAGTGACCTGAAAAACAAAGGGGCACTCATTGAGTTGATAATTAGAGGAAAAGTATGAACCAATAATTTCTGCAGCTTGTAGATCTTCCCCCAACACGTTTTATTAGAAACTGTCCAGTGTATTTTTCTGGCAATGACTGTTCTCTATATTAACATATTTTTTCTTTGTAACTGAGGCTTAAATTAATGTGCCCACTGGCACAGGTTGATTGAAGCCAAACACAAATTACTGATTTGGGGCCCTAAACATACAAGGATGCGAGTGAGTTGCTCAGTGGTGAGCACTCACAGCAATCACCTTGCTGTCCTTTTGGAGACGTTTGGGGACTGGAGTCTGGGTGTACAGGGGTTCTGGAGTATGTGCAGCATGCAGCTTGTCCAACCTCCAGCTCATTGCCTTAACAAGGTGCCACTAGCATGATAGTTGCTTCTTTGGCACATAACTTTCATCATCCTGATAATCCTACTGCAAAATGGGAGCAAAAAGGGATATGAGCACAGGGGATATGAGCTTCCCCCAGCTCAGGCCCCACACTGTGCTGACCTGGCTCCCAGTTGGTTGAGGTGTCAGGCAGAGTGAATTCACTCCAGATGCCACCAGAGCTTGTTCAGTTCTCCTGACTACATGGTGAAGTTTACATTTCAGGGGTGCATTTACAGTCAGGGTGTTGGTTGAAGATAGTGGTGGATTTTTTGCAGTTTTCCTGAAATCTGTGCTTAAAGGCTGGGATGCCCAGGAGAACTGATTAGAGCTTCAAGGTTTGTGAAAGAGCAAGATTCACAAGCAAGATTGTGAAACCATCTTGCCGTATTTTTTTGATCTCTGCTATTCAATTTACAGCTCTTTTTGATGTAGGTAATTGCCTTGATGGATATGCTCTTAGATTTTGAAGTAGAATTCAGGAGGGCATGATATTTGTTAGGATATACAGATGTTCAGTTTAAGCAGAGTAAAATTACATTGTACCACATAAATCCATTGTTATGTTTGCCTTTCACTCACCTACATGTCTTGATGACAAAGAAGGTGACAGTCCTGCCTCCTAGCATGGCAAATGAATGATCTAAACCTGTGTTTTAATAGTGATCCATTGTACGTTCTTGCAAAAAATTAGTGCCACATCTTGTAAGTGTGCTGTAAATCTTCCTATCCTGATAGTTTTGAAAATGGATGGCTCATTGTAATGCTTGTCAACATAAAGCTGCACAGCCCTTCTAGACTGGGGATAAAGGACACAGATATTTGAACTGCCCTCCTGACAGCTGACAAGTGCTTTTGGTTGCCTGCCACTGTACTTTACCTTCACTCCCAAGCAAATCTCTCAGATATGTTACACTGCTGGTAGTTTTTGTGGAGTGTATTAAAGTCTGTGGGGCAAACTTTGCTTATTGCAATGTTATTTCTTCCATGAAAGTAGGCTACTACCTCAGTCCCCTTGGACTTAAGACTTTTATTAGAATGACTATTATTAACTTGTTGACTACTTTTCTTTAAGTATCTTAATAATTTCCATGTCTAAATCTCATGCAATTTATCAGTGCAGAGTCTAATTGCACAAGTCAGTCATAGGCAAACTTTCAAGTGGCAGTTCAGCATCTGACTCAAATGAAATTCATGTTGACAGAAACCTTATGCATCCGTCTCCTAATGCCTTTGCTGCTGCTATGTTAAGCAAGGTACATTGAGATAGTATGGAATGATATATGGTCCAGTATGGCTGCTAACTTCAGTTATAAGTTCAGGTTGTAAATGGTTTTCTTCAAGCAAAGAGGAGGTGCAAATAAGGAATAAATTATTGACTTTGATAGAATCTTCTAATGATAGTTCTTTTTCCAGATGGTAAAACAAAGCTGCATTCATTTCCTTTCTGTCCTTTTTATGTAAGACATAACCTCACATCATGTATTCCTCTGAAGTCAGGGAAAACATGCAAATGATAACAGGTTTGCCAAAGACACTCATTAACTCCTTAGTCATGAAGCTTTTCGTGATCCCTTTCTATTTTATGCACTCTTTCAATAGCTACTTGCTCTTTCCAAATTGAGGGGGAAAGGTCTTTTGCTCAACCTGATGTTATCCTAGAACTTCATATTTTGAATTCCACTGATCTCCTTTCTGTATCAATAGCAGACCCATTTCCTTTTACCCTCTCACTTAAGAATATTTCACTGTTTATTAATCTGTTTGCAAGGAATACACAGAAAAAAAATATATGATAGGTTCTCGCCAGATGTCCCTATGGATTTCACAGAAGTGTATAGATTTGGTGAGAGCATATTAATCTTTGTAAAATATGCGTTGGTACAAGCACAAAAAAAAAGGTGCAATGCAAAGATAACAGAGTGCTCATGCACTCTGCATTTTCTTCAAGCAATCAATGCAGATTACTGACACAGTATTTTATATTCACAGCAAGAACTTTGCTAAATTGATGTATTATTATTCCTCTGCCTTTCTAATCCTCTCTTCTGATTCAGGTTTAGCCAAATTTGACTTTTTATGTTGAAATACGCCTTTAAATGAAAAATGGCAGCATTTCAGCTGAAGTGGGCTGGGAATGCAGTCACCCAGAACTGCAGTTTGGTATCACTGAATTGAGTGGTAATCTTGGTCCTCATGGGAAAGTCTTCTTGCCAAGGAAAGGAAACAGAAAGGGTATTGTCTGGAGACCTTCTAGTTGCAGTTGTGTAAATTTGTTTCAGCTTGGTAGGAGTGATAGGGAATATGACCCAGATTGTAAATAGGCACCCGGTGTTGGCCATAGGAGGGATGATGCAGGGAAAAAGTCATCCCACCAATGTGTGGGCAGGCATCAGCCCTTTGGAAATGCCTGCAACCACATAACAACCCTTCTCCTCAACAGTCTGTCAGTGTAGCACTCTGCTCAATCTGATTTTCTCTGCAGTAGTTCCAGAGCTGTTGGAGGAAGATGTAGTGGTGAAGGCCTGGGCAGGGCCAAGGAAGCTGAGCAGGCAGGAGCCAGTGGCTGTGCTTTGGGGAGTGAGTGTGGCAGCTCCAGGTGTGGTGGGGAGGGTGCCAGGGCCCCAGAGCATGATGGGGTCCAGGGCTGGGAGATGTTGTCTGTGCAGAGGAAAGCAGAAGAAAAGGATCATTTGCAACAGAAAGAGCATCAAGGTCAGAGATAATATCTGGGAAAAGCTCCTTGGCCATGCTGAGCAAAAATGAAGGAGCTGTAAACTTGTGGGAAGTAAGAAAGCCAGGAGGAGCAACTTCAGAGTCAGAGCCAGAGCAGTGCTGTGTGAAAAGTCTTCAAAAAAGGGCACAGATCCATCACCTGCTCCCCAAATATCCCACATTAGCCCTGTGATTGGCTCCATGAGGATGCAACGCCTGGAACCAGGCAGCCCTGGGACTGGCTTTCCTGCCTGCTGCTGCACCTCAGTCTTTAGAGAGTCAGAACTTCCTGTAGGGCTGGGAAGCATTGCCTCTACTGTTTGAGACAGGCAGCTTAATTCACTGTAAATTGAATATGTAATTCACAAATATATGTATATCCACCCAGTCTAGAAAAATTAGTAAAGTTAGTAGAACATTTGTTGCATCCTAGACTTCTTAGTGTTTACTGGATGTACCAATCATGATCATTATCAAATAGGTATAATTGTTGCCCTGATGTGTTACCCATCCCTCAAAATGCAACTTAAACACCTATAAATGTGTTTTTCTTTCAGTTAGCTTACTAGTTTTAGAGTCATATACATATTCATAGTATATTGAAATATGCTGTCTCTCTCTGCTGAATAGTGATGTGTTTCAGGACATTGAAGAAGGCAGTCCTACAGAATGCAGGATACCCCTAACATTGTTAGAGTATTTCCCTCTTGGCGTTGAGACCTTCCCACTGCAGAGGAATAACTCCTCCAGGGATTACAGTTCAAAGACCAGTACCCAGTTATCAAAAAACTCCTCTTCTTTCAAGAGGGGCTTTAGCTGTATTAAGAGAGGATTTGCACACCAGCTCTCCTGTTTATTATTGCTCTTGTAAAGAAGCAATGTGATTCTCCCTGAATCATTCCTCATGAGTCTCTGTTACTGACCATGTATGTAGATGAACTTCTAGACCACATATGACATAAGCACATCCTTTTTCCTGTCATTGTGGCATTGTATATCTTGTTTGTCTCAGCAGTCTTCTACCAGTGTCTGTGTGTGTTGGGATTTCCCCAAACTTCCTGCTCATAGTCCCCTTACAAACATTACTTTAGCCTGAATTCTGCACAGCTTTCCTCAGCTTCAGTGTAAGATCTGTGTTAACTTTTAGAGGGATTAATCACATGTAAATTTTTTCTCATACAAAACTTAAATGTGTTAATTATCTAGTCTAAGCTAGGCTTTGTTTAGTGTTACTGGATGGAATGGGCAGAGAAGAATAACA